CTGTAAGTACCTTTAGAGGATTGTTTCTTATTGCCATAACGCCATCTTCAATATCACGGATTTCATTTCTTATAGCTGTCCATAGAAAATTAYATTCAATCAATACTATACGCTGCAACTAATGGTAAGCAACAATMAATTAMTTACAAATCAAAGCATCACAAAGTCTGTCCAGCTCTGCTTTGCTTTCGCTTTCAGTGGGTTCAATCATGAGAGCAGTAGATACTGGCCATGAAACTGTTGGAGCATGGAAACCTATAGCAAATCAATGAACATGGTTTGAGTTTTCATTGCGGTGAATAATAATTAGAATAAATGAATGGATAAATGAATGAAAGCATCAATGGGAGAATGGATGGATAGACAAGACGCACTTTATTTGATAGACGATGCCTGCAGTTACACACATAAATCTAGACAACAGCAACAGCAGCAACGGCCAAGACCAACGATAGCAGTCGCAACAACAACAACAATTGCAAAAAAAAACAAACATTTTTGATAAATCCTAGATGAACGAAGAGAGAAGAGATTTGCGTACAGAATCTACAATTCTCTTAAAAGGGATGAATCTGATATGTTGAGAGTAACAATAAGTTTTTTTGTCTATCCAATAAATCATTTCGAGAACTAAAATCGATTCGACGCCTCAGCTTCACAGAATGTCTCGGGGGAATCGTCCCAAACTTTTTCGATCTGTTAATCATAGGTTCGAGTCCCAATATGGTCTTTTTCTTTTATATATTTTTCTAGCTTTTTTATTCATTCTTTTTTCCTTTTTTTGTATATATACCATCTTCTTCTTCTTCTACTWGGATCCAGGCCACACTTCTAGGAAAGCTCTAAGCGGGCTAGCTCAGTTGATATTTATTCATCAGTTCTTTTTGTAGATCATTGCTTTATGTTCATATTATTTTTTTCCCCGACACAACATGCACAATGTTGATTCTTTTCAAGCTCAGCACTTTTAGTCGGCTTTTCTCTGAAGGTCTTTGTACAAGCTTGTAGTACTTATTATCTAGGGAACAAACATTAAGAAAAAAAGCAATTTTTTACTGCAGAGAGCTGAAACTTCGTATAGATGTGTAATAAATTAAGAACAACTTATTATGTGAGTTTGAATTCAATTTATTGAGATTTCCTACTTTTATTGAATATTTCGTTTTTCTCTATAAGACCTTCAGAGAAAATCCGACAAGTACTGAGCTTGGGCTACCTGTGGCGTTCCAAGCAATTAAAACAAAGTGACGCTACGTAAGCAGTCTGGATCACGCGACTGCCTGTTCCATCAGGAAGTTACTCTTGACAAATTATCTTTCAAGCTACTGCGTTTTTCAAGCGTTTAAAGTTCATTTTTATATCGTAAAGTAGAACATCTTCGAATCAAAGTCATAGTCGTTCGTTTATTGTGTAAAATCACGACCTTGGTGATGTTTGTAAGTTGATCGAAACACTTCAGACCCGCTTCAGTCAAGCAAAGA